ACATTCCAATTCTTCTAACAAACATTTGACTAATTAATTAATTAAATTCATTCATCCATTCATTCATTCATTAATTTACAAGTTACAAAAAGTGAATTAATAGCACTTAATGATGGATGATTTAATATATATATCACAATCAATCCATCATTTTTATAATTTATTAAAAAATTTAATTCATTAAAAAAATGTTAAAATCTTACTAACCTGAGAAGTTGTCCAATGGGAGATGAAACCATTAATTATATTACCATTTTTATCATTCTCTCCCATTAATTCCTTACTAAACAATATTGTATCTGTGCTTTCTGGAATTGCATTTTCAAGCGTTGAATCCCAATACGGTAGCGATACATCTGGATCAATAATTCGAAGAGCAATTTCTAATCTAAAATAAACTTACTTCTATCAATCAATTCAATATATCGTTTTATTTAATCCATAAAAAAAGAATGGAATTTATAAGATATTGTGGAAAATATTTAAATTAATTGAAATTTAAATAATTTAAATTATAAAGGATATTTGCTATTAATCAATAAACGAATTAAGAAGAGTTAATAATTTTTTTTGCAATTTTTAAAAGGTCTACAAGAACCTTTTGATATATTCCCGATGCCAAGGTAAGAAAGCTGGGCCAGAATGTGCTCCACCGCTTAGTTCGGGATCTGAATGCCACTGGGCAATTTTATCATAATCACCACTTCGTTTTAATTGATTTAAAGCATTATGAAATCGTTCTCTTTCTTCTGTACTTAATTGTCTATACTCTTTACGAATAGCCAATGAAAGTTTTTTACCATTTGATAGGAAACATTCCAAATTTCTTAGTGAACCTTAAATTATTACATCTTCTGATTGATTCACTCTCTCAAATAATTACTGAAAACGAATTTGAAAATGATTACTATAACAATTATCAACTGTATCATTATCAATATGAAGCAATATTAATTAATACAGCAACTGAAAATTAAGGCTTATATAAAATAAATTAATTTGGATAATTTGCAAATTGATTAATACCATTGAGAAATGGGCATAAACAGATGAGATCCATACATGCTAAAGCTTTCATTCGTTGATCATTCATCAAAATTCGCGGTGGCGATTTTATCACATTTGCTTGCTAAAATAATGAGAGAAAATGTAATACTAAATATAACACCATAACGAGTATCATTTTTTTTCACAATTTCACTAACTATCAATATCACAAAATATGATTGATAGTTAAATAAATGAGGAAAATTTTTCAAATATATTTGGAATGAATGAATAATATAACTTAGTGTTTTTATTTTATCATTTCAATCACTAACATTTCTCTTAAACTGTTTGCTGCTTTGTGCTACAGTCGGAATTACCGGTGAATCATTGGATCGATCTGATATTCTTATTGATGATGGTTGTACAGGTGAGGATGAGGATGGCGATGATGAAAATTGTTTACGAAACAAATTATTAGGTTGTTGTTGACCTGGTGGACCAACTGTATCCTGTTCCATTGTATACAAATCCTTTTTAATGGTACTGGGTGAAAATGGCCCTTGCACACCGCTTTTGTCGCGTATGAAATCTTTATTTTTCAACATTTGCTGTGGTGGATTAAATGTTGGTGATAATGATAATGATGAAGTTGCACATGGAGAAGATGTCATCGCATTGATCATTTGTCCAGTCTGTGTACGAATTGGCCTAGCTTGCTCTAAAATTAGATATATACATAAAGAATTTTGAAGAGAATAACTACACATGCAAATTATTAGTATAGTAGATATCATGTTAGATTTTTTTACTTTTTTAAATTATTATTTCTTTTAAGAATTCTAGAATGTAAGTTTAGTCTTCAGCTATGATTAAAGAAGATCATTTACGGATGATATTTTAAGGGGCGCAAAAGAACATAGTGATTGATTGTAAAATGTGATGTTATAGCAGCAGACCACATCACTCATTAGTTCTTATAAAATAAAAAATTTTAAAAACGATACTAGGAAGGGAAGAAATTTCATATTCTATTTCGAATGCCATTCGTTTCGGTTCATTCGGGCCATACATTTCAGCCTTGAAATTACTTTTTAGTTCAGCAGGTATGGGCAAATTAACATGATGACTCATAATGAGTGGGGATTTATCACCGGTATGTGTTGTGAGGTATTGCACTTCTTGTGATGGCATACTATAAGGTAAAGACCATGAAGACCAACTAGTCCAACTTTGGAAATTATTTGTCCATCTGGATCGATTAATAGACCAGATTGTTTGTGAATTCCAGGATGATGATGATTCATTCAGCGAAGTCGAATGATGTTGCTAAAAGGACTCCATTTTGAATATAAAACTGAAGTGCCTATTTTCATTTTATAATTTACAGAATAACTATCAGTGCTCATGTTACAACGGTACTCCAAGAGTGTCTGCATACAATTTCCGGAATGTGCGAATCACCAAACTGTTTCATTTCATCTACTCTTTTATTATCAGTTGTTTGACTACTTGTTTTTATTGCATACAACGAGTTAATTAGACGGAACTCTTTATTTTTTCCTTTTTTTAAAAGACTAATGGAAAGTGGAAAAAAGGTTTCTGATTAGAAAATTGAAATTAAATTCAAAATTCCTGAAAAAGGAACCAACCCTGGCAGCTGTATCCCATTTCTTTAATTGTGAGCAAACAATTTGAAGCGCTGAATTAGGCGCTCGATTACAAAATGGAAGGCGAATCTTATATTGAATAGCAATGGAATATTTTAATAATGTAAATAGAGTAATTAGCAATAGTATATGCATGTAGCACAGTTTAGACATTGAAATACCTGAAATATTACCGGATAGATTCAACTTTTATTTCATTTTATACGATAGTAACGGAAGATTTCAGCATCCGTTATTATATTAGAGACTTGCTTATCTTTCTTATATACAAGTATTTTTAGCAAAAATTTAAACATTTGAGCTTAGAGCTTTTTTCATAAATCTTTAAATTGTAATATCCAACTATTCAAGAATTAATATCTTAGATAATTATATTTTGAAGGAATTATATATCAAATTTTGCTAATTTCTTAGATAACTTTGTTAGAATGTTTAATGACTGTTAATTAAAATGAATGTTGAAATTTCTTAATTTCAAAAATGTCATACATTCATTATTATAAAGATTGAAACTCATTTTGATCAAATCTTTTTATCAGAATGAATTTAATTTGTAAATATATGAATTAGAAGGCACACAGTTTCAATTTAAATTAGAAATATTTTTAAAAAAGAGCTATTTGCTGATAAAATGTAGACAGTTAGAGAAAAATAATTTTATTTAATTAATTAAAGATGATAAATTATTCAAAATGTTTTCCCTTCTCTTAAAAAAAAGTTCCACCAAATAAATTATTTCTTTCTTTATCCATTCCTTTCTTCATTATGTCAAATATATCAATGCTAAAAAAGGTTAAATGCGCCATTCAAAGATGATTATATGCGCCGTCGATAATAGCTTTTTTGGTTGAAAATGAGAGGAAAGTTTTTAAATGTTAACATTGACAGCTTCGAGGAAGCAAAGAAAAATGTTTTCATTAAGCGATAATTTATAGAATGACAGGATTATATCGAAGTTGCTAATTATTTATTTGTCTAATTATGAAATAATGGACTATATGTCATTTAGGACTTATAAGTTGATAAGAAGATAGCTATTGTAATCCGTCCGACAAGTTCTATAAAACTACCTGTCTGAAGCTCTCAGTGCATTTTATTAAAAAATAAATGTTATTTATATTTCGAAAATTTTCACAGAGAAGGTTTCAGAATTTATTTCGGAAAATGCCTTCATTATCATTGACATTCGAAGATAAAATTTTTAAAAAATGAGAAATATTTGATATAGTTTTGGAGCTAACAAAAAATAACGAATAAAAGTAATTTGAAATTTTCTCTTTCTCTTTTAAAAGCTAACTGTATGGAGTAGAAATTTATTTACCTTAACTTTATATTACTTTAATTTTATGGTGAAAGTATTAAAATAGCGAAATTCAGATAATTAAGTTTGTAGAAGGAAAGAATTTTAATAACACATTTCATGTCTTATCATCTTTTCGCTTAGCACATCAATGGAATACAATCATCTTTTATTTTATTGCAAGTTATAACAAGTTTAAAATTTTACTTTTAAAATGTAAATTTCAAAGTTATTTTAGAAATTAACTATCTGACAGTTGTTTGTTTGCAAAGTAAGCAACAGAATTAATTATAAAATATTCACTTGCAAGAAGCAATAATACAATTTGATCTGAATTTTATTAAAAATGCTTTAAAAAAGAAGAATTAAAGAAAGAATTCATCTTTTGAATGTTAATTATTAATTTACTCGTAAAATTCGAAATTCTATTAATTAATTATTAAAGTTACATAATTTTTTAGAATGCTTTAGCGCATTTGACAATTTACTAATTTCAGAAAGACATTTCATTTGAAAGATCATTACTTCATTACTGATTTAATCAAAAATGGTATTTTGTTTTAGATCACAAAAATATTAAGATTGTTACTAAAAGAAAAATTTCTAATTAATCAAATTGATAAAGTAACGATAATTTGTCTTATCATTTCTTTTTCTCGAAATACTCCTCCTATTATTAGTCATTTGATTACAATCATATCGTTGTGAAATCTTCGACAGAATTTTAAAATTCTGTTTTCAAAAAAATTCAATTTATCTTTTACAAATAACAAAGTTCTTCTTTTAAAAGACAACAAAGCAAATTCTATTTTTTATGATTCCATAAATGAAAAAGAAAGTAAGTAAGAAGACGAATGCTTTTTTCTCGACAAAATTAAATAACATTATTATTATTATTATTATTATTATTATTAATACGTTCACCTGCTCATTTCATCAATCCGCGAAACTTGTCGCGAACGATACTCAAAACTTTTGTCGTCAAACTATTTAATTACCAACAAACTTTTTTCATTTATGATTCCAATATTATGTAAAATAAAGAACTAATTTCATGAGAATGAATGGATAAAGTATAATGAATTTAGCATTGATGCTGATATAATGGAATAATCGAGATAAGCTGGAAATGATCGAGACAACCGGGTATCATTTCTTTTTTTAAAGATAGTAACAAAATCATGCAGAGCTTTATTTTGCTAAGATACGAAAAAGATAGTTGTAAATTTTAGTTGCTGTAAGTTAGGATTAAGAAATTAAGTGGCAACTACTTCTGTTATTGTGATATAATGAGAAATTAAAATTACTTTGATCTTTAAATGAAATAAAGCAATCAAGCAAAAAGAGTAGACAAAAATAAGTATTGGTAGGGAATATGAGATTCTATAAAATTGAAAATAATACTAATTGTGTTTTACTTGGCAAAAATAGATGTCATATTTTGAAATTAAACTTTTTTATAAATAATTCAAAAAAGAGCTAAAAAGCAGATCGGAAATGTTAAAAGCAATCACTTCTAAGCATTGCTGCTATTTCAACTTTTTGCACACTTTTAAAACATATTGCAAAATATGAGCCAGCAGAAGTTAATTAAGAAAAAAAGATGCAAAGATTGAGGGGAAGTTATTTAGATCATGTAATAATGAAAATTGAAGAGAGTTCATCAGGTAATGAGAGAAGTGAGAATAAAGGAATAAGATTTCAGCTTCATTTCTTCAAACTTTAAAAAATGATTCATTGGTTTAAACAGTTGCTTCAATTAATTATTGTTATTCTTTCACATATGACTACTTTCATTCGCAACAACACCAATGGTAATATTTTTTCATTATTTGATATTAATTAAATTGTGAGCAGTAATAATTTAATTGTTCATAAATAATTCAACTTAAATTCAATTTCAAAATATGGTTGTTGCAAACGGCAAATTATCAGCAGTAAAAAGAGATCGATCTGATTTTTCTGGATTATCACAAATTGATGCTAAAACATAGTAACTATTTAGTAGGAACTTTAAATGTAAAATTATTAGTGTAATAAGTAGTTTATTCATTTCCTTTGGAAATTAAATAATAGTTTTTAACTTCACAATTTAAGGCTAAGAGTTATTGCTTATTTAGGCATCAGTTGATAAAAATAATAATTATATTTATACTTACAGTATGATAAAGAAATTTGAGAAATTTTCTAGAACTTACTTGAAAGTAAAAAACCAACCGGTTTCTTTCATTTGTTTGTCTTCTGGATTATAAAATTTTCGATTTCTGGCTTTTCCGGCTATAATTAAAATTGAAATAATTATTTACTTATTATAGAGGAAATAAAAAAAGGGATATTTGCGCATGTACAATAAAACAAAAGAATTAACCGAGCAAAATTAAATAAAATAAACAAAATTGTCTTCGTATCGCCGAAACATAGCAAAAAGTAATTTTAAATTTGATTATAAATTTGGTGAAAATATTCTATCGAATATTATTACATTTCTATATGAATTATGAAATGTACGCTATTATGGACATCTCATATTTAAATATAAAACAATTTCAAGAGAGGCGCAATATTTGTACTTCTGAAAAATGTGACGATTGAAAATTTCGATAATTTGCTTCTTTTTCTTCTTTTCACTTGAAGGTTGCGCTATGATTAAACATCAACAACCATTAACCTTTTGGACAATTTTAATACATTCACCTTTCCATTATCTTTAATATATAATTTGAAATAAAATAATCATATTTGACAAATTGTTTCATTCCTTTTGAATTTCTTAATGATCGAAATAATTAATGCTTCCATTAATGTATTTATATATATACACACCAAATTTTGACTTTCAAACTTTTCGTATTCCGTTTATTTCTCTTCTCTTATAATATACTTCCGACATTCATTCAGAACTATCGGAAGGCGATCAGTTATTCAACTGATCTTTCAGTCAATTTTTTCATTTATGAACAGGATAATTTATGAAAAATGAAATGTATTCGATGATAATAAGGGAGTGAATGGTAAGTGCCAGCCAGCAGTGATCGTTGACTGTTCCATTTGAAATTTGAGAAAAATTTCGTAGAAAACAAAAAAGTAACTGTTGTCGCTGAATTTCATCGTTTTTTCTGTTTCTTTCTCGTTTTCTCTTATAATATCTTCAAACATTAATGATTACTTTTATGGCATTCATAATTATATTCAATAATAATTCAAAAGATAATAAATTCCTATTTGAAATCAAAATACATTTCATGTTTAAAAAATTGAAATTTTTATTTTAATTTTGATTTTTTTTAAAAGGATATTATATAGAATAGAAATAGCTTACTGTGCCATATATTATATTATATAAGTATAAAATTATTAAAACATTGATTGCATAGTTTCATTTGCTTATTATTATTATTAAAATTTTAGGCTAATCTTTTTTGTTCATTACAACTTTCAACTTTTAATTTCTAAACCTTTTTTTTAGATCAAAGAATATGACCGTCAAATTTGTTCGCAATGTTTATTTAACTTATTTTTGTTTATTTATAATTTATTTAACTTATTTTTGCAAGAAAAAAACAATTCCAACTTTCCTAACAAATTGAAATAAAATATTATATGAAAAAAAAATGTTTGAAATTTGAGCTAAAACTTTTAAGTTGCAAATTATCTTATAAGATCAATAATGTTTGCTTCTTACAAATCGATAAATCGATAAATTATTAACCGATAAATAATATTGACCAATTAATTTTAATTAACAGCATGATACAAACCGAATAAATTAAATCTACAGTTAAAATTATCAAATAATATTTCGAAAATAATATTTGCAATTTGCCGGTCAGTTATG